GCATTGATTATCGTAAGATACACAAAGAAATTTTGAAAAGTTCAAGCCTAGCCACGTACATCAAAACAAATTATGATATGATAAAACGACGAAGTCCGGCATATAGTCTAAAAGGAAGACATATTTTATCAGAAAGATATCGCAGTTCTGCACCAATCTTTTATCCATTGTATGATATATGAAAACGTTCATCTACGTATTCATTTATAAAACATAGTGAATGCGCCAGAATACTTATGACAGTTAGATGAGGATTCATTTTATAATTAAATATTGTTTATAAACATTTTTTTGTTATAGTATTTTTTATATTTGCAATAATAAATGCGATTATACGCATACATTATGGTATAATAGTGTAGCATACCTTGATCAAAAAGTTCCCGGAATTCATTCAGAAAATGCAAAATACAAGTTTTATTCATCAAAAGTGATATTGTCCCCTTCAAAGTACTTCCCATCGACTGCAACGCACTTATGCCAACGCTTGATCCAGCTCTCGAAACATTTCTGGAACTCTATTGTCGGTATAGCCATCAGAGCCGTTTTCGATTTTTCCATTACCTCTTTTCGGCTGTTAAAACGCGTTCCCCGTAATGGTTTTTTGATTCGATCGAACAGAAAAAAATCGCAGGGAGCATCAGGTGAATTCGATGGCTGTTGGATGGTTTCGTTCTTGGTTAAAAATTCACGGATAATGATGGCACTGTGCGACGGTGCGTTATCATGATGCAAAATCCATTCCATTTTTAAAACTGTAAAAAATCGAAAATATGTGCAGAGGTAGATGTACTCAAGACGGCATAACTTTTACAAATGTCAAGCTATGGTGATAAAATTTGGTGGGAATGTCAATGATAGATGTGGCAACCAAAAAAAAAAATAGAATTCAAATCAGCTGACTCAGAGCATCACCTGGTGGTAATTCCGGGAACTTTTTGATCAAGGTGGTACATTCGTGGGTAAGTAGGGCGGATTAAGGGTGTGGTCGAATTGCCATTACGAATACTTTGATTAAGCAATCGGAAGAAAGAATTTTACTAATTGAACAATCAAAAAATGCTTCGAAGCATTCAGCGGCAACTCGATCCAAAATTAAATAAAAAAGAGTTGATTCCTTGATGTTTCATTTATTATGTTTTGGTTTTAACCTTAAAATCCTAAAATTCAGTCAATAGAGGCCAATCCTAACTAAAATCTGTATTCAATTGGCTGAATTTTAGAGTTAAGACTGAAGCATAAACCAGGCATTCATCTAATTTATACTTCAATTTTAACCATAGTGTAAGAATACTGCAGGATCTACAATAGCAGTCATAGCAGTCATAGGGTGCTTTCCAATTACTTAATACATCTTAACATAAATGTACACAAGAATACAGTATAACATTGATCTAGTTTCTACCGAGGGTTTAAACTGGATTAGAATGTAAGAACTAGCCAACTACAGTAGTAGTCGAGTTCCCCTGTTACAGTCGAATGACAGGGAAATGCTCGATTATAGTTGGTTGGTTCTTACATTCTTATCCGTTTTAAACTCTGGGTGGAAACTAGACCATTGTGCACGATTCAATTGGAATAGAATGTGTACGCTGTGCACGGTTGAGATACAGTATAACTACATACAATAGCGACAGCATCTACCATGGTGGAAAAAATAAAGTGAAGTATTCTCATGGATGCGCAGTAGGAGAGTAAATTTGGGTAATGTTTGATTGATGCTATTCTAGCGTAACCTAGTATAGGACCTGCAGTCCTATTAAAGGAAAATGCATATTGGAGAAAATTTGATTGATTATTTTTAGTATTGCTATGCCCAGGGTTGGGTAAGTTAATATTTTTTTAAAACTAAATTAAGTTAATGACTTATAAAATTATTAAAATTAAGTTGAAAGTTGAAGGAATCAAGAATTAACTTAATAAGAGTTAAGATTAAATTAACTTAAGTTTAAAAAAAAGTTAATTTTGAAAAAAATTATTTTTGAGATCAGATTGTCCTAATTTTTTTTTAAATGAGATTACTTTAAATAATTCTTACAAATATAGATTATTAGACAAAATTTAATTTTATATCCATACTTATATATAACTTTGTTACTTATATATAAATAATTTAAAGTGTTTTATTAAAATCTTGAGAGAGAAAGAGTATATGTTTGCATTATTTGTCTTTCTTTAACCTTTATCTAATGTTTTTTAATGATTAAAACGACTGTTCATGCATGTTTATAACTATATCGACTAGATATTTGTTAAAAAAATATACGTAAAAATTGAAAATGGGTGGATGCGCAACTCTGTTCTACAACAATTCTTCTTCTAAGGCTCATTTCATATTTATATAATTTGCGATATCTAAAATTAATTGTGATTTAAATAGCGGGAATTCAAAATCTAGCGAGTTAATAAAAACTGGCTACTGTAGGGTGAGACTCTTATTATAGTCTTTCATCATAAAATCATTGAACTTTTTCTAAATTAATTCTCTAATATTTACGACTTTATAGAAAAAAAATATTAGCATTAAGAAAGATAGAAAAATTTTCAATTTAAAAAAAGTTAATACATTAAAAGTTAATATACATTAAAAAGTTAATACATAAAAGTTGAAAAGTAATTAAATTAAGTTAAAAATTAATGCATTTAAAATTAATTAAGTTAAAAGTTATTAATTTTTTAACTTTTTTTTTAACTTTTAACGTTTCAGCTAGTTACTATTCAACCCTGCTATCGTATACGCAATATTTCACCTCATTCTTTCCATCATGACAGTATGAAACGAAGAGTTCAGTTTTGTTCTGCGCATGCGTTGCCTTAAAATCAAGAATATGGCAGATTGTCATAGCTTAAAACTGTGGCGACGACGATTGAGACACAATAAATTATGATTGAGAACTGAGTGAATATTGTATATAATTACACATATTAAGATGAATAAAATAGATGGAATTTCTTGTATTTCTGCTACATGCAAAAATATTAATAGAGAGGCTACAAAATAAGTTTTTTTCTATTTTCTAAGGATATTAAAAGATACATGTCCATTAGGACAAAACGCCTTAAAGATTTATGTTATGGCGTCTTAAATCAATCAGAAATGATAATGGAATCGACATCGAATCGATGTCGGTTTGATGTCAATCGACGTCGAAAGCATCAAATCGATGTCGATTCCATTATCATTTCTAACTGAAGAGATCTTAAAAATCTTTTGTGTCCCAATTTTAAACATCATGCTATCTGAAATTGTCAATAAATCGTTGATTTATGAATATCATGTTTCACGTATTATTTTATGATTTTATTTGATTCATTCCAGAAATACACTACTCAACAAAAAATAGGGAACACTTTAGAACGCGCTCAAAATTGCGTAATATTCGAATTTGATTGATTCTTATGGAGATATATGACTATTCTTTATGGAGATATACAGATACAAATGAATACTCGTTCACATTTGAAAAATTTTTATACTTTACGAAGATCTGTGACATGAAGTAAAATTCAAAAATACGGTTTATAGCAATCGAAGGAGTGAATCTTTACCTTCAATTTGATTTTTTATTGAGTATTGTACGATCTTTTTTCATCGAGTTATTAAAGCAAAAGTAGTCATTAATGGAGTATTCACTTGTATGGAGAATTTTGACGGGTATCCACTTGTATCTGTATATCTCCATAAAGAATCAGTCATATCGGAATATTAATTATCGATTTCAAAAGTAGAGATTTCAAGCTTTCAAATGCTTTTTTGATTTTTTGTCTATATAATTTTTCACCATGTTACGGTGTTCTGAATATTACGGAATTTTGAGCGTGTTTTAAAGTGTTTCCTATTTTTTGTTGAATATATTGAAATTAGAAACAAAAATAGACCTATATTAATATATACAGTGATATATGTAAAATCATATGTAGAATTTAACTGAATTTTAAAAATATTTTATTTGCGAAATACTGCAACATTTCTTGATGCAAATTTAGCGGTCCATAAAACTCTCAACATGTCTGACAACAAAAGATGTATTATTGTACTTAATGTGTAGGTTAGAATTAGCAGGAAAATATTATTTTTAATATTTTCCTTATTATTTTTAATATATTTTTTCTCATTCTTAGAAATAAATATTTTCGAAAATTGGAAATGCAACATATTATATAATTTTTGAAAATCTAAATGTAAAAAATGTTTCAAATTTTTGATCTACTTGACAAATAGTTGTCATAAAGTTTTATTATTAATGAGACAAGTATAATATTTATCATCTTCTTCTTTCTGAGATTTCGACATTTTCTATAGCATATTAAGCACATTTATTATAATATCATTATTATTTTAAATCTATGTCTATTTTTGCCTTGTCGAGCACTGTCGTTTTTGATCTTCATCAAATATGAAATGTACAGGTTTCCTTTGAAACGTACGATGGAGTATAGAGAATAGGAGTTCGGCAAACTTACATAGACGAGACCGTCAAAGAGCGTGGTCAAAAGTGGTCATCTGAATTAATTCGATCGAAATGTCGCTTTCGTTCCACCACACCGTTCTCCCAGTTTGCATGGTAAGTCATATTTTACACGAAGAATGCTCCATTTTTCATGCAGTTTTAATTTCTTCCTACTGCCTAGAGCATGCTGTCAAAAACGTAACGTCTCTATTCTTGAGAAGAGTGAACACATAACAAGATTATATTGGGTATGGGAAAAAGTTCGTAGCGATTTTTTAGTAAAATTAAAGTGTTTTTCTTAGAGTATTGAAATCAATTTATTTAAACCAAATATGCTCCATCATTTTCTATAATATTTTGCCATTTTTGGGGCAGAGCCATAATTCCATCGCGATAGAACTTCTGTGGTTTCTGATCGAAAAACTGCTTCAAGTGATTTTCACAGGCCTCTTTTGAAGCTAGCTTTACACCATTAAGAGAATTCTGCAGAGACCTAAACAAATGATAGTCTGCTATGTTAGGACTATATGGTAGATGCATTAAAACTTCCCAGTCAAGCTCTCGCAATTTTTGCCGAGTCATTAAAGATGTGTGTCGAGCGTTGTCGTGATGGAAGACGACACCTCTCCTATTGATTAATTTTGGCCGCTTCCTCTCAATTGCTTGTCGTAATCTCTGCAGTTGTTCATAGTAGAGTTCGGAATTAATTGTTTGATTGGACAATAACAGCTCATAGTGAACGATTCCCTTCCAGTCCCACCACACACACAATATCACCTTCTTCCTCGTCAATCTAGGTT